CGATGGCCTCCAACCTAGTAGCTTAGTAGCTTCTTGTTACTAGTAGTAGTCGTGGCCTCCAACCTAATAGCGATGGCCTCCAACCTGGTACTAGTAGTAATGGCCTCCAACCTAACAGCGATGGCCTCCAACCTAGTAGCTTCTTGTCACTAGTAGTAGTGGCCCCCAACCTAATAGCGATGGCCTCCAACCAAATAGCGATGGCCTCCAACCTAGTAGCTTCTTGTTGGCCTCCAACCCGTTGCTTCTTGCTACTTAGTAGTGATGGCCTCCAACCTATTAGCGATGGCCTCCAACCTGGTAGCTTCTTGTTACTACTAGTAATGGCCTCCAACCTGGTAGTTTCTTGTTACTAGTAGCAACGGCCTCCAACCTAATAGCGATGGCCTCCAAGCTGGTAGCTTCTTGTTACTAGTAGTAACCACCTCCAACCGGCCTCCAAGCTGGTAGCTTGTTGTTACTACTCCAACCTAATAGCGATGGCCTTCCAAGCTGGTAGTTTCTTGTTGCTAATAGTAACGGCCTCCAACCCAGTAGCGATGGCCTCCAACCTGGTAGTTTCTTGTTACTGGTAGTAACGGCCTCCAACCTAATAGCGATGGCCTCCAACCAAGTAGTTTCTTGTTACTTCTAAGGTCTGCTTGAAGGGAGTGAAGAGCAGCATTCCATTCCTGCGATCCTTTGAGGCCCGGCGATTGGCGGAAGAGTGGGGGCTTTGTGAAGGTGGCAAAGCGGTGGCGACTTTTGCAGACCTTGGCAGTGGTGTTGGAAAGCTGGTCGTAACTTAGCTAAATTGCATTTCTCAGTTTATCCTCACTGTTGTTGTTTGAATGGCAGTTGATTGATTCATTGAAGAACCTCTCTGTGCTTCAACGTGGCACAGTGAGACGGACGATTATTTAGACTCCTTCATGCTGCGGCCTTCGGGCCTTGCCCAGGTCCAGTCGTACTTGGAATGGCCCGGTGTACACCGGGCGTTGGGTGTTGAGCTCTCTGCCACCAGAGCGAAGCGTGCTTTGGAGGCTTGGGAGGCGTTGCTTCTCAGTGACGAGGCACGAGAAGCATTCTCAAGGTAGCTCACCTTCCCCGTTTGGGACCTACCCTCGTCGCCTGAGGCAAGCGTGCTTAAATTCGCTTTTGTAGTTGTATTGATCATGAAGGCATTTGAGCTGCGGCAGATGGCCCTGAATCTTGCTGGGGACAATGATGCAACACCGAATCCGGCGGAAGAGGCGGGATGCATGACATGCACAAGAGTGTAGGAATTCCGGATGAGGATCAATGATCGCAGAGTTGCTCTTGCAGCTCTGAGAGCACTCCTTACTGGCAGAAGTTTTGACTAAGCACACCCAACCCAACGAGTCATTACATCCTCCTTGGCCTTTGAGCGCCAACATCAGCGTTGCAGGTGAAACTCTTGCACGGCGACCTGCCCTGTGGCTGCATGTCATTTTTTAATGTGTTTTTTGAGAGACCCAACTCACTTCCATGCATGACCTCTAATTCAGAGTTATGTGCATTCTAGTCGCGGGCGACGCAGAAGAGCAAACAAAAAGAGACCCAACTCAAAAGGCGCCATTTCAGAACTCTTGACTCGTGACACTGCCTTTACCATCCTTTGCAAGGTTGCTATTTGCTTGATCGCCCTTCAGACACACGCTCCGTCTGTCCGTCTGTCTGTCCGTCTCTTTTTTTCTCTCTCTCTCTCTCTCTCTCGCTGGGGGCGTGAACCCCGAGTCCAAGCATCAGGTTGGATGCCGACTTGAGTGATGTGACGCACGCCTACGTGTCTTCCCTGTGTTTTCCAGAGTCCTTGATCTTTGACGTGAGTTTGAAGTTGAAGCAGGCAACTTGGCAGCTGCCTCACTCGCGCACTGTTTCCACAATTGAGAAGAGAAATAGCCATGAGATTTATTGCTAGAGACATTCATATATATATATATATATGTATCAAGATTACATAATTACATAAGATGACAAACTTCACTTTTGGCGACATAAAGAGGCAAAGCGGTAGGAGCACTGACAATATGCTCCATTTTGCAGGCTCCTCGGCTTCGAGCTGTGGCATCCTTGCAGCCTTTGAATTTGGATTCAGGAGCTGGGAAAGGGCAGGAACGTGATGAGAAAGAAAGCAAGAAAGAAAGAAAGAAAGACATAAAAGAAAAGAAAAGGCAAAAAAGGAAAAGAACAAGAAAGAAAGAACGAAAAGAAAGAACACAATAGAAAACAAAGACATATAGAAAGAACGAAAGACAGAACGGTAGAAATAACAGATACAGTAGAAAGAAGGAAAGAACGAACGATAGAAAGAACGAAAGACGGGCAGAAAGAACGAAAGAAAGAACGATAGATAGAGAGCTAGTGAGAGTGATATAAAGATAGAGATAGACATGCGCAAAGGTGTCAAGGTCAAGGTGTGGATTCTTGGATTCTTGTCATCAGCATTTTCTTATTAATCTGGACATGAGACAAACTCGGGAAGAGTGCGTACGAGTTGAGTCAGCCTTAGGTGCTCGCCTTTTGGCGCTACCCACGTCCTGGACATCCCGACGAGGCCCTAAAGTATGATTGAAGGGATTCGTTCAGATTCGTTTAATCCTGCTTGACACATCTTCGACTCCTGCTACCTTCGCAACCTGGGGCATTTGGCTCAACTGTGAGGAACGCTGCTAGCGTTGCCCAAAGCTGTGTCCCAGTGACCACAAAAAGCGCTGACACACTTGGGCCGAAGATTTGCTGATGGAACGTGTGCAATGAGTGTGTGATGACTTTGCGAGCACGAACAAGCGCCTTGCTTAGCAGCGACCTGTCTGATTTGTACGATGGCTTTGCTATTGGATGGAATGAGCTCTTTGATCAGGAGACTGCACACTGCGCTTCAAATAGATTTTTGCATGCTGCAAAGTGTTGCAGCATTTTCCAAAGGGTGTCTTTCTCATTGCCTTCTATGTCTATGTTGCTTAAACTTTTGGAAGCAGACACGAAACCTCGCATTTGCACATGGCAGGAACCAACAACTTCAATTGCCAGACACAATACTCAAAGAATTGGTACCCATGATGGCCACGACGCCACCTACCATGACCATGACAGCTCTACACAACCTCCAAAGCTAGCGCCTTTACAGTGCAATGCAAGCAAGGGGAAGAACAAGAGGGTTCCAGTGCCACCACCATATCTTCGTATTGGTGGTGGCAAGCGAAGCATCATTGATCGTGTCATGAAGGAAAGGGTGCTTACATGCCCTGTCAATCAGACTCTTGGCTCAATTACATGTATGTAAGCTTTGTAGCTTCAAACACTCCTCATATCAAAGCACCAAGGATCAGAAAACCCGCAGAGGTCGTGGAGGTAGAGCTGGATCAGCTTCGTGCACAGCTCCAGAAAGAGCTGAGAGAACGTCGTCGTGATGCACGGCGTCGGAGACACATGCGGCGCAGGTGTCGACTGCAGGTGGGCAGGAAAGCTGAACGTGGTCTCACATGAGAAAAAACAGTATGGAGAAAGAAGAAGAGGAGATGAAAAAGGAAGGTAGGCCTCTTTAAAGGAGGCCTTTACCTTCCTTTGTTATTTTTTTATGAAGAAGATCCAAAAATAGAAAGCTAAGAATTTGCAAAAAGCCTTGGGAAGCGCTGGGAGTTTTTCAAGAGCGATGCCCCACACACACACATAGACGTGTGAGGTTGAAACATGTTGAAACCTGTCCTTGAAGAGGGAATTTCGCCAAATGCATAAAGCCAGCGCATATTAAGGACATGACAAGAGTAGAACAATACCGAACCACTGCTTTGTTTGGCTGAATGCAGCATGTGGAGGAGGGTGAAGATTTAGACGCAGCAGAGGCCAATTGGAAACTAGAGCCCCTAGAGAGACTCTCACCAAGGCAGGAATGTCGATTTGTGGGTTCACAATTTGTCACGCAAAGAATTGTGCGGTGAAATGCACTCATAAAATGGTTTCGCAGCCTTCAGGGTTTGGACTTGCCTTCTCGTATCATTGTATGTCTTGGTTTGGATTCTTCTTCGTGCTTTGTGATGTTTTGCGCCTTTTCCTGACTTTCGCAGAGACTCAGAGTCCTCAGAGTGTCTTTTGATTTGACTTGACGCTTAAGTGGACAGACAAATGATGAAACATGTGCAGTGTGCCCTCCAGCTGTCAACTCGACAGTGAGAGTGAGACTGAGTGAGATATGTTTAGAAAGGCAAAATTAGCACTGAACCCAATCGTGCCAGGTCTGACCGCCAGCAAAGTGCTCGCTCCTTCTTCTCACAACTTGGCCACAAAAGGCTGGGAGATGTGTCAGCTCCTCAAACTGCGCGTTGAGGGGCATCATTTTCTTGCCTGCCTCGTCGGTCAGAATCCAGCCACCTCGTTGACACCACCACTACATGGTAAAGTGCTTGCGATGAAATTGCTCAGCACATCCTGTATATAGGTGGAAACGTTTCACTCTTGGAGCATGCCTAGACTCTGACTCAAAAAGGCAAAAGATCTGACTGATGTGCGGAGTGAAATTTGTCTACTAGGGCCTAGGGAAACAATTTTTTGCTGCATCGCTTCCGACCAGCAGGTATGGGCACCATTGCTCACTTTTATGACCTCGGCTAAAAAGGGATGGGCGCTTTCGCATTTTCAGAATTTCGACAGACCAAGCTGACTTGGTTTGAGCGAACATGGATGATATATGTTCCGGATGCAAAGCCTTCTCCAGTCTCCACGTTCCACTGTCAGTTGTCGCTGTAGTAGTACATCTCGCATCCTTTACTCATTTTTTCCTTCATTTCCTCTCTCTTCACAGGGTATTGCTGGGGTTGATACTGCGAATGGGTGATCTAGGTTTGGGCAGGTGGTGTTCAACGCTTTTTTCGGCCTTTTTTCACACGATTTGGCGCAGCCTGACTACAGTACAGTTGTGTCCCTGTGTGATCTGTCGTATCCTCCTGCAAGCTTGTTGCCTTATTGTCTCACGTGTTTTGCCGCTGCCGTCCTGTCTCCTTAGCTTTTCTCCCTACTTGGCCTGTGTGATTGTGATCTACAATTTGCCTCCGGTGCCGTCTTGTCTCCCAAGCTTGTTGCTTTGCTATTCGTACCTTGCGCGTGCGAGCAACATTTTTGCGGGGTCTATCTATAATCTATATATATATATCAGTGTTATTTTTCAGGCCATGTAGGCTGCTATGTCCGATTAAAGGTTTTTTGGGACATATCGGTTTGCAAGCATTTTTTTCCCCAAGCCTTCGAACCTGATACGTCCCCTCAACGGGTAAGACCAACGAAGAGATGCAGAGAGCACAGGAGTATGACTCGTTTGCATGCGTTTGCGAAGTAAAAAGTACCAAGAGAATCAGAAGCGAGTTTAAGGAGCCTATATATGCTGGCATGCTGGGGACCTTGAAGGGCCAGATGAGTTTGCTTCATGTCGCTTCCATCATGTCATGACGTCGCCTGGGCGGCATTCCCCCAAAATACAGGCCCAAGTTTTTGCGGTGGTGCTTTGTAAGCAGGCATCCCAACAGACCAAGTGGTAGAGAAAACAAGATGATTTTCATAGAGCTGGGGTGCAGAGGTATATATATAAGTTGTTCTTTGAAACACTTCAATATTGACAAACCCAGTATCCCAGCTCAAGTTCCTTGGGCCAAAGTAATTGAAATGCCGATCTTCCCAGATAGAAAGCGTGACTGTTTTTTTTGTTTCAGGTTTCAAAGTGTTGTTAGTTATAGAGTTATATAGACGATGTTAGGAGTAGAGTAGATCACCAGGTCACATCAATCTATATTCGGGTTGTACAACCCTCAAAAAATATACATTTCCGGGTCTTCCTTGCACATTGACATTTTATACAGTTTTTTTTGCTTGGCTGATGATTTTAAGATTATAAATATCCCGCCCTTTCATACATGTCATTGAACAAGTATGCATCCTGAGGGCTGTTTCCTCTCCCTCCCCTGCTTTGAAACATTATTATTAAGGGAAATCAAGCTTCTTGAGATTTCCTCATGTTCATACAATGTCCAACAAATGTGGATGTGCACAGATCGGTGTGTACCCATCCCTATGCATATATTTAGGGTCTCGATGTCCCCCTGCCTTTCAGACATACCTTGGAACCGGTGTTTCCAGAAACACCAAAGAGAGCATGAGACATGTTGATTTATCCTTATGTCAGAACTCCACTGTTCGCAAAATTAAACGCCTCTTACATACCTGCACCCCGAGCTTCAAACATTCCGACACATGCATATTCCAGCCTTTAAAGAGTTGGACCTGATGATGAGTAGAGAATGGCGCACCAAGAAGCTAGCCAGAAAGGTCAGACTGACTGTTTCATTTGCAACCTTACAATGTCCTACAAGAAGCGGGCCGATGGGCTCTGCAGCGCTCTCAGCCGTCGGTTTCCACGGCTTGGAGCCTGATACCTATGCTTTGCTCGCACGATGTGATGAGAGCTTGTGATGGCCTTGCTAGTTTAATGCATTTTGGCTGAAGGCTTGGAGCTCGCCTCCCCAACTACAAACTGGGCATGCTTGACCTGGTGATGGCCGGTCCATCGCTTTCGAAGATGATTCGTTGGTTGCCATGCTCCGCCTCGAACCTACCCGGCCGTCCTTACCCCCTGTCTGCACCTCCTCAACCCCGTCCTCAGCCCTCTAACCTGCCAAATCTCCACAGGGCGTGTGCCCGGTCTACCCCTTTTCAATCTCTAATCATCCAATCAGTGTACGCCTCCATCTGCTGATGCCCGACCAAGGAACACAAAACCTCCGTCTCAGCGGTATCACACTTCTTTATTCCTGAACCAGTTTACGGTTGGGGTTCTCTCATGAAAAAAGAGCTGGCCACACTGGCTGGCCGCGCCCCTGATCCGAATACAACCGTCCAGTTTCCGAATACAACCGTGACCGCGCCCCTGAACTCTGTGTCCGGGGTCAGTGTCCGGGTCTTGTCCTCCGCTTGTCCTGCTGTTGTCCTTTGGCCGCGGTGGCCAACACTGTGCGCTGTGTGCTCCTCTTGTCCTCTTGTTCCTCAAACAGTTTACCGTTGAGGTTCTCTCGGAAAACACCCTGGCCGTCTTTGGCCACACTCCTGAACCCTGTGTCCGGGTGTTCTCCTGTCCTCTTCTTGTCCTGCGGTCTGCTCCTTCCGTCCTCTCTGGCCGTCGCAGACCCTGTGCCCTCCTCTTGTCCTCTTGGTGTCCTCCTGTGCGAACCCTGTGTCCTTCTCCTGTCCGCCTGCTGTCCTCTGGCCGGGCTGGCGAATGCCGTACTACCAACAACATTGCAAAAAAACATGCTGAAGTTGTTTGGGGTCTATGCTGGCATCATAACTATGTTAACCATGAGCACCTGTGCCAGCGATACCTGTCATCCAGGGGAACAGTGAACGAATTCAATGGTTGAACCAGCTATCCTTCATCTCGGCCTTGACATTTCAATTCCTTTGCGCTGTCCATTTCCGATGCATTTTCTTTAAAACCTAGCCTGGCCCAAAACGACTCCACATCCTAAGACGCAGTGAACGCAGGAAGTACCAATCAATTTGCACATTGCCAAAAAAAGGAAGCCACAGTCTTGTGACACATGAGGAGTCTTTTGAAAAACCATGACTGGGTGCGGAGGGGATGCCATAGCTGCTGATGAGCAGGACAGAATCATTGCTTACGTGCAGCTTGTCGGCACTGACATTTGTTGCAAGGTAGGACGGTAGGACGAACAGATTTGTTGGGACACTTAAGGACTAGGCTTGCCTGTATTGAGGGTGAAAAACTTTGGAGACCATTCTTGCCAGTGATTTAATGTAATGCATTAATTAAGAATCGAGAGATGACTACCTGTGATTGGTCAAGCTCTTTAACTATCAGGAGCCGGCAGACGAAGGCTCCATTTGAAACTGATGCTTGTCCAATTGACATATCAGTATTTTCCAATTTGCATGCACCAGTCAGTGTACCTTGGGAGGTTTTGGGTGCATTTGTACTTTTGGTTGGCTCAAGTAGGACGCCCATTGCTCACACAGAGACAGACACACAAGACTGCATGCTTGATCTCAAGCTTTTGGGCAAGAGACTCTCAAGGCTAGATCCAGGTCGCACGGTTTTTTGTCGCTTTCAGATTTGCTGCGACGCAATCCCACCGTTCAATCTTTCAAGCAATCTCGGAGACTGAAAACACAATCCTGAAAACACAGGTTTTATGTGTTTATTTTTTTAAATGTCCATTGCCCGTTCTCCTTTTTCGACTTTGTTTTGATCTCAACTAAACTTGTACACAGTGTATGGACTTAGTTTACTGATTTGCTTCAGCCATGGCTGGCCCGATGCCGAAACAGGACAGCACGCACCAGGCTTGGATAATTTCTGTGGTCGGTGTGAATTTTGTAGACGTTTCACATCAGTCAACTTTCTGTCCCTGTCCGATCCATGTGGACTCATGTGCTTTTGCAAACTTGTCAGGACCCTGAGAAGCCGAAGAAGGTTCCTAGACACTGATGTTGGATTGACCTTGGCTCGCTTGCTTTACCTTGTGGGTTTCTAATCAGCCAACTCTATGCTGATAGTCGATTCTGCGTTTTATGGCTGAGGCTTCTAAGCGCCACCTTGCGCTTGGTGTGGGGACGTTGCTGGCACTAATTGCTGTTCCTCGACTTCAGTCTATGTTACATGAGAGAACCTTCAGTTTCTGTCAATGACAACCATAGAGACGAAGGGCAGAACAGATTGCTTCCTGGTGCTTTTGGTCGAGGCTTATGTTTATAAACAGGGTGGCAAAGAGGACCAGTTGATGCCAAAGCACAGGGCAATCCATCAAAAACTGCTGATGTTTGAAGGAACTGCTGAATGTCATCCGGGAAACGCTTCTTTCGCTGCAATCCCTGCGCAACTATGGTGCTTTGGGTTGGGCACCTTGGCTTGGGTATCAATGTTTTTCGAGACACTGGCTTTACGACAGACCATGCACACATATAAACTTTGGCCACATATTGTGAATGCAACAAACAGCAAACAAATTCATTTGGCAGCTGCCTGCTTGAATCTTGCTGCCTAGGTGATTTTTGTGGTTGTGTTTATTGCCCAACTCACAGTTTGTCTGCCTGGCACTATGGTTCGGGTTCCTGAGCTGCTAGTATCTTTAGTGTAACTAGACCGTTTGTACATAATAACATGCCTTGGCATGCCTTGGCAATGTCTTACACACCGAATTCTGCCAAGACTGCACTGGACGTGTCTCGAGGCATGCCACGAGTCCTAGTGGTCAAGTGGGTTTGTATTTGCTGGCTTTTTCTGCAGCATTTGGGCTCACCAAAGTGATGCGGGATTATATACAACACGACACGTGCGCCACACAGAACAGCATGCAGGTCGTACGATAGCAGAGGTCTTTTGCGCGGCAAAGAGACGGCGGGATCTCACGAACACCCGTCCCTTTTTTCATTCCTTGACAATTGTCACTCTCTGGGCGCTATGTCGTTCACCATCAGCGTTTGTTTGTTGAGCGGCCACCTTGCTGACCTCGAGGTGATTTCTTTCACTTGTCAACCTGCATACATTCAATGCTCAGTCCTGAAGGTTGTTGGTTGTTTTCCTTGACCATCCAGTATCATGCTTTCATGACGCTTTCATGAGAGGTATCCCCAGCACAGTCGGTGCTTGAGCTGATGATTCAAGCTTCAAAAACGCTTGGTAGACCCTTGAAGTCGCTGGCTTATCAAGGCGGGCTTTGGATCGGATTGGCCGTCGTTGAGATTGCATGTTGGTTTGCACAGTCCGCATTATGAAAAGAAACTCATTTATATAAGGACATTAACCAGGACGAACAAGACGCGTTGTTCTGCAATTTACTGTAGGCTGTTCATGGCTCTTCTCTTTACACTTCAGCAACCACTGATAGCTTTTACATGCGTTTACCAGAATTTAATTTCCGGACTGTTGGGTTCCCATTCAGTGAAATAGAATGAAAGAGACCATACAGAGCACTCATTGTGTCAGGGCGCCGGCTCTTGAGGGGAGAGAGCGTGAAGGTGCCTCAAACAAACGATACACTGAAATATTGCCATTGCATTTTGGTAGCTGAGCCTTCACTGTTAGCAGATTTTGCAGGAACTTGGCTTGGAGGACGGAAGCGTTGTAAATGCCTTGGTCAGACAACCAGGCTGGTATTTGTGCTTGATAATTTTGTGCTTTGCAAGTTGCTTGTCATTGTCCAAAGACGATCTTTCTAGGTTTGTTGACGAAGAGATAAAGATGATAAAGACGACCATGTGTTTCCGGGTGAACTTCAGCCAACATGAGCCAACGCTGTTCGCCAAATGTTCGCATCGTCAGACGCTCCGCAGGCTCGGTGCTTTGCGGGCACCGAAAATGTGGCGCCTTCGCTTGCTTGAAAATTGATGGTGCCGTGGCGACCTGGGGACATCCAGACTGCCTAGACAACCACCCCCAGCACGAGCACCTCGGCTACAGGTTCCCTGTAGACGACCTCAAAAAGTTATCATGGATACATTGGAAGGAAGTCTGAGGATGCAAAGTTAGTGGAAGCATTAAGAACCATCAATGCACAGAAAGATTCGATGAGATCCCTACCTTTCAGAGGAACCTGAATGCTCAGCAGCTCTATGCTTCCAGCTCTGCTTTTGCCGCCATCACTGATCAGGCGCCTTCCGGGTTCTAATTAGTTGCAGCTCCAAAGGGCACTAGGACACAGGGATGCAAAGCGGTGAACGGACGATTTCCCTATCTATTTCCGAGCAAGTGAGCTGACAGCTAGCCTCATCATACCTTCAGTGGTGTTCGAGACGGTGTGGGAAATGGAGATGGAGGTGATTGCCAAATTGGCCCATGTTGTAGGTGAATACAATAATTACATATATATTATATAATTACAACATAATACAATATAAAGTTGCTGTTGCTCACGATTTAGCGATGCTTGAAAGCTTCCGGGTTCCTCTTAAAGATTTATTTCGCAAGAACTTGGAACTGCGATGAGCTTGTAGGGCGAAGTGGTGGCATGGGGCGACCCTGCTGGTGGGGGCGACTGCCAAGACGTCGCGGACCAGCTGAGGCGAGCTGGAGGGGGGTGGGCCTTGAGCCTCTGTTTTCACTTCGTTAAAGAGAACCTTGGTTCCTAGTAGCTTCTTGCTCCTAGTAGTAAGGCCAGGAGCCCCTAGTAGCGTCCTTGCTCCTAGTAGCGATGCCAGGAGCCCCTAGTAGCTTCTTGCTCCTCAAATGGCTGCATCGAGCTTCATTGAACATTGCATGATGTTGACATATGTTGACTGGGTGACATGACTTAATGTGACATGAAGTTTAGCGAACCGAGCAAGTATCAGAGTGGACATGACAGCGGTTCACGCCGCTGCCTCAGGTTTGTACAGAATGTCTATGCGTCTCAAGGAGCTTTTGCTGCCGTGAGGATGCTTTGAAGTGAATTCATTGGCATTGGTGTTGCGGAGGCCGCAGGATACTAGAGATGAGCACCCAAATTAATATAGATCAAAAATCATAAGAATCTGAAGGAGAAACCTTTCTATTGATTTTAAATGGGAGAGATTTTCAACTACCTTTAACGTGTTTCTTCACACTGGGCATTCTTCAGAGAAGCTTCTCCAGTTGCTGAGGGCAGGAGCTTCGTTGAAGAATCGTCACTTGTCTCACGTCGTTGTGGGCTTGCCTGTTGTGGCACGTAGCTTCAAGAGAAAAGCATCGAAACCCGCATTCAATCAAAGCAACTTTGGGCTGATGTTGAAGCTCGATCCAACAGTTCGATGGCTTCTTGTGGTGCTTCTTTCAGCCTACAAGCACAGGGCCTACAACCCAGTTCCGAACTTGTGGATGCTATGATTTTCCACTACTCCATAGTGTTGAAAGAGTTTTTCAAGTTTTACACGCCCAGACATGGCTGGTTTTTTCCCCAAACAGTTTACTGTTGGGGTTCTATCTTAGAAAATTACACCACCGTAGACCCCAAACAGTTTGTGTTTTTCAAAATGGGAACACTCTGCAAATAGAGCTTGCGACGTCCAGAGCTGGGAGACAAATGTAAAATTAAGGATTGCAAGGCGGAGGCGGACACAGCAGCCCAGCGCTGGGAGACAAATCAAAGGATTGCAAGGCAGAGGCGGACACAGCAGCCCAGAGCTGGGAGACAAATGTAAAGGATTGCAAGGCAGAGGCAGACACAGCAGTCCAGAGCTGGGAGAGACATGTAGACACAGGGAGGCAAATGTAAAGGATTGCAAGCGACACGCAGCCCAGAGCTGGGAGACAAATGTAAAGGATTGCAGGGCAGAGCAGCTGGGAGACAAATGTGAAGGGTTGCAAGCGAGAGGGGGAGAGAGGAGGCACATGTAAAGGAAAGAAGGAAGACAAGGCGGACACAATGACCAACAAGAAGTGGCACAACAAGGGAGACAAGAAGGGAGACAAAAGGAAACAGAAGGGAGACAAGACGGACACAGTGTCCAACAAGAAGGGAGACAAGACCGGAGACAAAGGGAGACAGAAGGGAGACAAGGCGGACACAATGACCCACAGGAAGGGAGACAAGACCGGAGACAAAGAAAGAATGGAGACAAGGCGGGCACAGTGACCAACAAGAAGGGAGACAAGAAGGAAGACAAAAGGAAACAGAAGGGAGACAAGGCGGACACAGTGACCAACAAGAAGGGGGACACAGTGACCAACAAGAAGGGAGACCAAGGGAGACAAGCCGGACGGAAGGCGGACACGCTGTCCGGCAACAAGGCGGACACTCAGAGAAACATGGAAAACAAACCACAGCGGAAAAGGGCGGACACCAGCAGTGACACACCTCGGAGACAAGTGAACAGAAATGCTACATGGCCAACGGAAAAGGGCGGACACCAGCAGTGACAGACC